TGTGTTAGTCTAATCATTGATGCGACTCATCATCTCTCTTTTGGAACAATTTAGATCACTTGATAGATATGTCGGCCAGTGCTCTTTTTGTTTTAGTATCTCGTTTCCTAATTTCCAGAGCAAAAGTTGGATGATGCATGTATCATAATTGGATGATTATATATCTATGTATATATTTATTAGTGATTGTATTAGGATCAAGCACTGGTGTATAGTGCCTTTTGTCTCGCTCCTCTTGCTATAAGGCATATATATAGGCTTACTTATGTAAGGTAGAGATGAGCCCGAAATGGGTCGGCAGGATTATAGAAATGTCAACAAATATTAATAACGAAGCTCAACTACTCCACTCATTGTCACCATGATGCTGAATCTTCCCTTTTCCATTTATATATAACCCTTTTGTGTGTGTTCACATGAACTCAATTGCATGTATATGCATGATTATATATAATATATATGCCATGGTGCCTCAACCTGTATGTACGTGCATATAAAGATACATGAGGCATGTGGGATAAGTTCTTAGAGTAATGTGTTAGGTTACAGGAATAAATGCTTTCTGTTTTAGCCAAAGAAAGAAAAAGGGAGAAAATGAGTAAGAAGAGATATAAAGGGAGAAATTGAGTAAGAAGAGATATATGAGCATCTTATTAGCTCCACAAGTAAACCCGGCCTTTATTATGTACATATATAATATATTGGTTGATTTGGAAACATTTGTTACAAGAAGCCAGGTAAACCACATGACCAAATTATACACCATTCACATTAACAATAAATATTGTATATCTATTACATGATCTCAATTGGTGTTTTTTTTGTTTTTTCAAAGATGAAATTAATGTCTACCTTGTTTGATATAATCTCCCAGGTATATATAATTGTGAGCAAATCATCATAATTGGTAACAATAGCTAAGGAGATGTTAACTCATTAAAGAAGCAAGATATTGCGGACCGGAAAATGCAGGAAGGGCATAGACAATATGGTCGCAGCTCGTTGTAGCCAGGGATTTCATTGTTGATCAATGGCATTGGCATCTCAGTATCTTACTCAGCACCGGTAGGATTGCAATTTCTTAAGGTA